ACACGCACACGCACACGCACACGCACATGCACACGCACACGCACACGCACACGCACAGTTTTTGTTAACAGTTATGAGTGTAACATTTTTATCAGCTGCTTTGTTTATAGTACTTTGAGCAACACTTTGCCGGTTTCTGTACAGAAAATGATGCTGGCTTTGCAAATATGGATGGCCGCTACCATTGAATATAATACCCGCTATGTCACACTTATTTACATAGAAACTTTGATTATCATTTGCATAAAATTCTAAATTCTAGTCAAAAATTTAGCCATGTGATAAAACTTTTAAGTGTACCAGTCAAACATTAATGATGATATTCGGGTCATTATACTGGAAATAGTCTTTTAAATATTTTGTAGTACAATTGATAATCTTCAGTATAATTGACCGTGTATATAACTTTTATAAGTCTATGTTATTTTTGATGAAAATTATTATTGCAGATTAAAGGCCTTTCACATTTATTTTAGTCTCGAATTAAATTAATCAAAATGAAAATAAGAACTTTGTCTCTTTATAACTGATCTTTAAATGTAAAACACTGACTTGAAATTATATAATTATCGGCATTTTTTTTAATTTATTGAAATTTTCTAAGATTGTGTTGAAACTCTACTGGTAAAAAAAAAACAAATATATATATTACAGTTCTTGATGAAAATAACGTATGCGCGTTACATCGCATCCCATCAAGAATTTCTAATGTAATTCTTGGTGTAAAACTAAGACGTGATAATAACTGCAAACAATAGAATAACAAAATAATGAAAACATTTGTAAATACTTGCTTTAAAACCTAATAAATATTATTTGACCGTAATAAAATAAAACAAGTGTCATGGGTCTACTCAAGCCCTAGGGGTCGGGGTCCAGGCAAGATAAGAAACAAATGTGCGGTGTTTTTGGTATAAGTTATTTAATTGTAACATAAAAGCCTACAACAACTCAACACTACAAAACAATTAACTAAATAGTTTTAAGCATAAAAAAACTACAAATTATCCTAACTCTAAGATATGTAAGCACTAAAATGTTAACTAATTCTACAGCTACGCATTAACTAGAAAAATAAAATGAAATATAATAAAACATAAAATTTACCACTAGCTCTTTTACTTTAGTAAACAAGACTTATAAATAAAGTATCATTACAAAAAATGCAAACTTAATAAATAATAAAAGAAAAAGCAAAATCATAAAAATAAATTTCAATATTTTTATTCGGAGGTTTGAACCATGAATTTGAAGAAGTTGCCCAATGTACTTGGCCGCTATCCCGATAGGCTATGCCTGCCGATGACGTTTGAAATCAAATTAGGATATAGTATCATCTCTCTATGTCCTCATGTTTTATGACGAAGTAGATTTTCTAATAATTCTTTGCCAGAGATATAGGAAGGCGTATGATCACAATTAACTTAATGGGCGTTTCCACAGACTGAAATAAGTGCATAATCTAAGAATACTATCGCAAAGTTACTCAGACTACAACATAAGAAATACTATTAACACTTACCCCGTTGCACCTCTAAAATTAACGTTCCACGAATAAAATATGTATTTAAATAATACAAAATTAACTGATACACAGCTATAATATGTACGTAAACTTTTGTGCATCAAACTTCCAATGTCTGACAAAAATTCCCACTACTCGCGACCGCGACTGCGGCCCTCCGCTGTCCGTAACCAATTCCTACCCTCCAATATTTTTCCAAGTTGAGAAACATGACCCATCTCAATTATGACGTAAATCGTAACATTATTTTTTTTTTATCATCACATATCCCCCCTCATCAAATGGAATCCAACCGGATTCAGCTAGATCTCAAATTACCCGTTTCAGGTCAGAAGCGTGCCATGTACCCAAAAGTTTGCCGCGTAAACTTTTCAAAATATAAACATCGGCTGACAGCTTCTCCGAAATAATAGCTTTTTCGTACTTTGGGGATAACTTGGCCATAAAGTTTTTATTAGCACATGATTGTGGTTTTGTTTTCTTCCAAACCAACTCTCCCACATTGAAATGGCATATTTGTCTTCTTTTATTATAATTTTTGCTATTAATTTCATAAGCCTCTCGCAGCCTCTTGTTTACGTCTTTATATATATTTCTTCTCTAAGTCTCAAATTATTTTCAAAATAGTTTCTATTTACATTAACATAATCATCTTTATCTGGCCCGAAATCAATTTTGTTTTGTAAGGAGGTTTCTCTACCAAAAAACAAGTATGAAGGAGTCTTGCCTGTTATTTCATGTATAGCAGTTCTAATGGCATGGCCTATATGAGGTATAAATTTATCCCAATCTTTATGATTATCTTCGATATATGACGCTATTGCAGTACCAATTACTCTATTTACTCGTTCTGTAGGATTGGCTTGAGGATGATAATAAGGCGTATACCAAATTTTAGAGTTGTAATTCGTAATTAATTCTTTAAACTGTGATGAAATAAACTGTTTCCCATTATCACATATCACTGTTCTTGGTACTCCAAATATGAGAAATATCTGTTCTTCGATAATTCTAACGATTGTTGATGTTTTACCATTTCTCAAGGGAAACAATAATACAAACTTGCTAAACCAGCATGAAACCACAAGTAGCATTGTATTACCAGTCTTTGATCGTGGAAAAGGTCCCATTAGATCCATGGAAACTATTTGAAAAGGCTCTGTTACTTCTTTGTGTTTGCCCATTTTCCCAATTGGCGGCAGTTGACTAGGTTTATGTTTAGAGCAAGTCTCACATTTCCGTACGTAATCTTTAACATCTTTAATTAAGGACGGCCAGAAATAATGTTGTCTTGTTCGATTTATGGATTTCTTAATTCCTAAATGTCCTGCTGTTGGACTGTCGTGACATTCTATTAGGATTTGTCTTCTCAATTTTTCTGGGATTGCTATCTTCCACGAATCTTTTTCATCTGGAAATTGTTTAAGTTTCAAATATTTCCACAATATACCTTGATTAAGTATCCAATCATCTCTGCCTTTTCCCTCCGTTATCTCTTTTTCAATTGAATTATACCAGTCATCTTTGTCATCTGGTTTAATATCTATAATATTTATTTCTTTATCTGGAATTGCTCTTGATAGTGCATCCGGTACAATATTATCTTTACCCTTTCTATATATTACCTCGAAATCAAACTGTTGTAACCTCATTGCCCATCTAGCCAACCTTCCATGTGGATCCTTATTCTTGTAAAGCCATTGCAAGGCGCTATGATCAGTTATAACCTTAAAGTGCGTGCCTTCTATGTACGGCCTAAATTGTTCAACCGCGTGAATCACACTTAGTAACTCTCTTTCGGAAGTAGAGTACTTTGTCTCTCTTTCTGAAAATTTTCGGCTAGAATACGCAACTGGTCTCTCAATACCATCGCGAGTTTGAAATAAAACAGCGCCCGTACCTTTATTTGAGGCATCGCACTGTATAATAAATTCTAAATTGAAGTCAGGACAGCTCAGTACCGGAGTAGAAGTTAATAATGTTTTTAGATCAATGAAAGCACTTTCGGCTTCTGCGTCCCATTTAATTTTCTGACCTTTTTTCAAGCCTTTAATAAGATCGTGTAAGGGAGCAGCAACAATTGCAAAGTTCTCCACAAAACGTCGATACCAACTCGCCAGTCCTAGAAAACGTTTTAACTCTGTATATGTGTTTGGTCTTGGATAGTTCAAAATGGCACTAACTTTTTCTGGGTTTGTTCTTAAACCTTCCTTATCCACAATATAGCCTAAGTACTTTAATGAAGGACGAGCGAACTGGCACTTCTCAAAATTTACTGTGAGACCTGCTGAGAGTAACTGCTCTTTAACCAAAGTCAACGACTTAATGTGATCTTCAAAAGTCTTACTACATACCACAATGTCATCCAAATAGGCAAAGATTTTACCCTCATGCTCTGGTGGAAATAACTTGTCCATTAGCCTCTGTTGCGTTTGACTTGCATTTTTAAGACCGAAAGGCATAACCTTGAATTGAAATAAACCCTTACCTGGCAAACCAAATGCTGTTTTTTCTTTACTCGTAGTTTCTAATGGTATTTGCCAAAATGCCGATTTTAAGTCAAGAGTTGATAGATACTGAGCATTCTTTAAACTGTCCAAAATAGACGTAACTCTTGGCAAGGGATAGGAATCATTCTTTGTTGTCTTGTTTAGTTGTCTACTATCTAAACATAATCTATTAGAGCCTGATGCTTTTTTTACTAAAAGAACCGGTGATCGCCACGAGCTAAACGATGGTTCAATTATGTCTTTTGCCAACATTTCATCTACTTCCTTTTCTAATTCCTGCATGATATGTGGTGAAAAGGGATATTGCCTTTGAGTAACGGGCATGTGTTCTCCTGTATCAATGAGGTGCTCTATTAAGTTCGTTCTTCCTATACCTTCGCCTATAGAATACTTTATATCTTCAACCACTAAGCCTAAGGTTTTCGATTGATCCTCTGTCAACTCATGTCTTGATTTAACCGAATTGCTTATATTTATTATTGCTAATTCACCATTAGATAATTTTTGGATATTTTCATGTTTAATGATATCTTCTGTATATCCAATGGTAAGATTAAAATGATCAAAGAAATTCATACCGAAGAGGAGATCATGTCTTAAATTATCCATAATGTAAAATTTCACCACTTTATACCGTTTCATAAACAGTATTGGCAAATAAATTACTGATTTTATATTGTAGGATGTTCCATCTGCCATGGAAATACTCAACTGAGGTATTTCATGGATTGAGAATCCCAAAACCATGAATTTACGACTTAAGCCTCTAGAAATCACCGAAGATGTGGCCCCTGAATCAAGTAATCCCAAGAAAGATTTGTTTAAAATTTTAACAAGAGCGTAATGACGGTTGTCATTACTTTTTGATACGATATTGCATAACTGGCCAGTTTCAAAGTAATGAGAAACAACCTTTAACCAATTCTGCCATTCTTCATCTTTAAAATCTGAAGCTGTCTTGGAGGTCATTTGGCAGGAGTAATGACCTCCTGTTTTTCGTTTCCCGAACATGAGCAATTTTTTACCGTTTGGCCAAATTTGCCACATTTATAGCAAAATAACCTTTGACGAGGGAGCGTACAATTTTTAAACGTATGACCAGCAACACGACAATTCCAGCATTTTATATTTTGTAGGCCAAAATTTCTTACATTAAATGTCGATGCTATTTTTGTCACTTCATTAACTTCCGCAAGAGAGTGTCCTTGATATGCTAGGTCCGGCTCCAGAGTAGTACTAGTGTTTGTTGGTTCTTGGAAGTTTTCACAGTTAGTTCTTGTGCGTTCTAAGACTCTTAACACCGATGTTAATTCTGATACGGTATTAAACTGATCTCTGCAAACTGCAAGTTGAAAATATGGCTGTATATTCTTCAATAAGATGGAAAGTTTTTGTTCTTCATTAATTTTCTCTGGAAGTCTGTTAAACATATTCTGCATAACAGCTAGATAGATAGCAATCTTTTCTCTCTTACCTTGAGTTCTCTTCTTTATTTCTTCTAATAACTCGTCCTGATAATAGGGTCTCTGAAAGGTAACTAAAAGAAGGTTTACCAATTCCTCCCAACTGTTCACGTACTCAATGTTAGCTCTAAACCATATAAGCGCCTCACCTTCAAAAAAATCCACCGCATATCTCCATAAATCATTAGTATTAGCATTACGTGCTTCCCTAAGTTCAGCTATCCTTTCCAGGAAGGCATTAACGCTTACGTCACCCTTGCCGGAAAATTTAACGCCCCAATCTTTAATAGGCACAAGTTTTCTAAAACCTAACTCATTTTCTACAATAGATTGATATAATATTTTCTCAGGACCTTCTTGCATTTTAGGAAAACTCCTATCCTTTGAACTGTAACTTGTTTCTGGCTCTATAGTTCTGTGCCTTGACTGTAAATCGATATGTGTGAGTATATCTATCGCTTCTTCTCCAAGACTGCGATGGAGTATTTCTTTATCCTTTTTAGAAATCTCTGCTTCACTCTCACTTTTATCTTCATCCTTCACATCCTTTGTAATTACTGTCCCGTAAAATATTTGAACATCCTTACATAGTTTAATATGACGGTCTATGTCTGATTCACTAGGGATGATTAGTTTGACCCGGTTAAGCAAGTGTTGGAGGCGCGAAGCTAGCCGTTTTTTTATATCACCATCAGGATCTTCATCGAAGGCCGATTTTAGAAATTGCAATTTTTTTTCACAAATTTCAATCTGGGACAGGGCGTCCTTCGTACAACAAGACGGGACAACTACGTTTATACTGGAATCGCCTTCCCGCTCTCTTATAAAAATTTGTTTAAGGCCTTTACGCATAACTTTTACTGTTTCTAAGCCCCGAATACCACGGCAAGCTAACTCAAATTCAAGTTCATCCTTCAATAAATCATGGGCATCAATCTTGTCCATTTTATTTTAAATGAAATGTATATTATATATATTTTACGAAGATATATTTTTTTTAGGGAAAGTAAACAAGATGTTTCCTAGACCACATGTAAGTACACAAAATGATATCATATGACACAATAGTCAATAATATAAATTATAAGGCAATAACTAACCAATTCACACAATTGTTTCAAGGATCTTTACCCGTGGGCGCCATTTGTCATGGGTCTACTCAAGCCCTAGGGGTCGGGGTCCAGGCAAGATAAGAAACAAATGTGCGGTGTTTTTGGTATAAGTTATTTAATTGTAACATAAAAGCCTACAACAACTCAACACTACAAAACAATTAACTAAATAGTTTTAAGCATAAAAAAACTACAAATTATCCTAACTCTAAGATATGTAAGCACTACAATTTTAACTAATTCTACAGCTACGCATTAACTAGAAAAATAAAATGAAATATAATAAAACATAAAATTTACCACTAGCTCTTTTACTTTAGTAAACAAGACTTATAAATAAAGTATCATTACAAAAAATGCAAACTTAATAAATAATAAAAGAAAAAGCAAAATCATAAAAATAAATTTCAATATTTTTATTCGGAGGTTTGAACCATGAATTTGAAGAAGTTGCCCAATGTACTTGGCCGCTATCCCGATAGGCTATGCCTGCCGATGACGTTTGAAATCAAATTAGGATATAGTATCATCTCTCTATGTCCTCATGTTTTATGACGAAGTAGATTTTCTAATAATTCTTTGCCAGAGATATAGGAAGGCGTATGATCACAATTAACTTAATGGGCGTTTCCACAGACTGAAATAAGTGCATAATCTAAGAATACTATCGCAAAGTTACTCAGACTACAACATAAGAAATACTATTAACACTTACCCCGTTGCACCTCTAAAATTAACGTTCCACGAATAAAATATGTATTTAAATAATACAAAATTAACTGATACACAGCTATAATATGTACGTAAACTTTTGTGCATCAAACTTCCAATATCTGACAAAAATTCCCACTACTCACGACCGCGACTGCGGCCCTCCGCTGTCCGTAACCAATTCCTACCCTCCAATATTTTTCCAAGTTGAGAAACATGACCCATCTCAATTATGACGTAAATCGTAACATTATTTTTTTTATCATCACACAAGGTAGTCTTCGACATGAAAGTAAAAATAAATATTTTTTATTATTTTTTGCAATATCTAACAGCCGGATCAGCGCGAGATTCTGATCCATCTAAAGACGCTGAATTTCAGCAAACACTGTCAAATTCAATAGGAGTGACAGAAAAAACGGTTCTTGATATAGAAGGGTAAATAAATTATTTACCCTTTAAAGTAAAATCACTTTATTAAAAATCAAAATAGCACAATAGCTTTATTATCATGAGACACATAATTGTAGGAGTGCTTACAATACTTAACATTATTTTACTGAAATCTCAGAAAGTTTTTTTTAATAGAAAAAGGGTGACAAACGAGCACACAGTCCACCTGATGGTAAGTGGTTGCTACGGCCCATAGACATCTACATCTATTCTCGATTACGTATCAAAATGTAGATGCGTTGTCACCCGTGAGAACTAAGATGTAATGCCTCGTTTCCAGTGTTAAATTTGCGGGACGTCTGCATATTCTCTGTATTATTTTCGACTTTTTTCTTTATTTCTATATACACACGGTAACCGTGTAGTGGCGGTGTAAGACTATATAGACATGGTAACCGTGAAAATATCCACTACCCCATATCGTCCTGTGGGTGTCGTAAGAGGTGACTGCGGTAAATTAAAACAGACAATGGGCGACAGCATCTTTCTGATGTTAACAACTCAAAATAATAAAAACTTGCGGTTTCCAACCGGGTTGGAAACGCAATTATGACAAAATCCACCCTGTGAGGCATCTATGGGAGAGGTCTATGTTTAGCAATGGACTTTTATAGCTTGCACATCTGATAAATCAGCACATATAATTTCAATAAATAATCTTAGTGGTGTCATCTGAGGTAGTACCGTTCATGTGCAATGCAATTTCAAGGTTAGAGTATATCCTCTGAGCTATCACGACCTACATCATAAAATAAACATAAGCTAAATATACGCGTTTCCTAATTGTAATAAAACCAACCCATAAAGACTTATTAGTAATTTAACCACTAAAGATGATTGCCGGAAGTAACATCGTAACTCATTTTATCACTGTTTATGATGACGTATTTTTTGTATATTTATAACATAAATGACGTAGGTGTGTCGATCAGAAGAAATAAAAATGTATTAATGCGTCTGTTAGTAATCGTTTCACTTCTGAATAACTAGCCCGATTAAGGCCACATTTAAACATTTTTTTTTTAATTTCGAAACGGTCATTCATAGTATTACTAGGGACCGATGGGTGGCGCTGTTGTTAAGTTATTAATAAATACAGTATATGTGTAGACCAACATAATAAAAAAAATCAAATATATACAATATAGTATATTGGTTTCACGCGGTGACTCTGCATACGAGTTATTAATTAAATAATAATAAATTTTATTTTTACTGTAAATTAGTGTGATGTGCATGTGGAGTGAGCTCATCACCCGCCAGACTACCGGTAAGGGCAGAAAATTTGCCAAGACAGTTAATTCTTCAGTCCGTAAAAGTACACTCTTACGAGCTGAGGAAGATATAGGCTAGACCTAGGCTGGGCATTTCCTGGTTTAAGGATTGATCTTATTTGTCACACTTGTCAGACTGATTGACTATCGCAGTAGGAACCGGACGTATCGCATCTTTCAAGCTCCTGTTAGTATTTTGCGTCTTCCGTAATTATTCTTCCAGTATTATTCAGCAAACTATCAAAATCCAAAAGACAAAAAAGAAATAAAAGCTTTTAAGATGATGACTATTGGTCGTAATGGAATATTAGATTCTATTACGTTGCCACCACCATACTGCATTCCTGCACGAAATTCTTTAGAAATACACACTCCGACCGACCCTCTTTTATTTTGTTAGTGCTCCTGACATGTTGGAATGATTGGAAGCTGTTCGTATTGCGATTTATGAGTTTGTTGCTTCATTACTGGTACACATTTTATGGTTATGCACTTGTATCTAATATATAGTTAAACAAAAGTAATTTTACGGATTTCAAATAGTTTAATTTTCCATCCATCCCTCCATTTCAGCATATAAAAGTCAAGTGCTCGGTTTAATTTTACTGATTTTTAATTCCTACGGTGACGGTAGCGTTGAAAAATTATTAAGTAATAGATACTGCTACTTTTATGTTGTTTCAGTTCCCTCTGTCACATCTTACGACAACAACGGAACGATAAATGGTAGTGGATATTAATATACTACCACAACACGGTTATATTTTAATGATTACAATTCGGTTTAATTTTACTGATTTTTAATTCCTACGGTGGCGGTAGCGTTGAAAAATTATTAAGTAATATTATTTTGGTTAAACATTATCTAGGACGTTGGACACTTCACTCAACTCAGAACTGAAAAGCTGAAACTGAGACGGGATGCTCCAAAGTACTTCAAACATTAGAAAATAATTAAAAACGGTGAAGATTTAGATCCACTTCTGTGTTGCTGCCTGAAGGTAACCAGATAATTATCTAAAGGTTTTAATTCATTCTATCTTATTTCGCAGTGGTAACCAACTCCCCACTGCAAGGCGCAGGTCTCATACCATTTCAGATAACATAATTAGTGTGAGTGCTTTTTCTGTATAATTTAAAATTAAAAATTTTGTGCAGCCGGCTTCAATATAAGTTATTAAGAATTACTCAAAAACTATTTGTCTGATTTTGATCAAATTTATATGAGACTACACGAGATATAAAAGCTTTCATATAAAAAAAGAATCATCGAAATCGGTTCACACACTAAAACGTTAGGAGGTAGCATACATAAAAAATGTATGGAGTACTTACACCGCGGGGATATGGGCATCGTGTTCCCCTCGTCATCGAGAGTCGAGTTGGATGCAAAGAGAGAGCCTAACAGATCGGCTTTCTCCTTTTTCGGCATGGGTCAGTGAGTTATACTCTCTGTGCAGAGATGGCTGACAGAAGTTCCCTTGGACAGAAGTCGAACTAGTTTCTCGCCAATTCTGCCGATTTGCTCTGACTTTGCCTTGACAATGAACGTTTTGGCAGAATTATACTTCTTTTTAAGAGCGCTTTTGTTTGCATTCCGAGATGTTGATGCATCAGCCCAGGCACGGTAGCAATCCTGCATAAGCAGCAAAATTTCATCACACCATAATTTGTGATGCGATTTTACAGGAGCGACCAAGCCATGGCCGAGTTCTACTTCTGATAAGCACCACAGATGATATAATAAAAAGTTCCATTCCCTGAAGTACCACATCAACGAGAGAATCAGCATCAACTTTGGGATGACCCGGCGAAAAGCAAATCCGCCCCCATGCCGCTGGTTCGGAAAAAACCTCTGTCCTGGGAAGAACCAGCAAGAAACCCAGCGGGACTTTTTTTTAAAATAACAGCTTACAATTATGATGTTACACAAATTAACAACACAACAAATAAGAAATAGCTTGGTAGCGATCACCTCATTTCCAGGGGTTATTATCATCCATAAATTCCTTAATATTATAATAACTTTCTTTATACAAACTTAGTTTAATAAAGTTTTTGAACTCCGAGAAGGTCAAACTTTGTATATTTTCTGGAATTTTGTTGTAAAAGCGTATACATCGCCCCAAGAATGAATTACTGACTCGATGGAGTCGAGTAACTGGTACTACTAGCTTGTGTCTGTTCCTAGTATTTGCAGAATGAATATCACTTATTTTTGTAAAACTACTTATATTTTTGTGTACGTACATTATATTTTCATAAATAAATACGATTTAACATATATAATAAAAAACTCTTACGTACATGAAACTTGAACACTTAATAGCTCGTGACGCCTACCGGAAAAAGCTACAGCACAATGTAATTGAAAATGCGTAACCGCAACATAATT